TATATATTTTATTAAGCATTTACAAAATTCTGTTTAATCTCCTGAGTCCTGCTGGAGAAGGGCGGTATAAAAATCAAATAAAATCTAAATCTAAATCTAAATCTAAATCTCAATTTTTCAATTTTTCAATGAAAGCTTTGCATGTTTGAACAATATATCTTTGCATATATAAAAATAATTACAGGAGTATGCATAATATTATTTAATAATATTTATATTTGATGTGTATAGGGAGTGGCATGGTGGCTAGTGGTGAAGGCAATCGCCTCTCACTCAGAAGGTTGAGAGTTCAATCCTAGGGAGTGGAATATGTTTCTCTCCTATCTGCTGTGAACTTTGCCTGGCATCAGGAAGGGTATCCAGCCAATAAATACTCAGCTCCATCCAGTCGTCCTGACTCTACTCCAAATTAAGGGGTTGCGGGGTCATAAAAAGGGAGTTTTATATATGTTATATATGTATATATTATTATAAAGTAATAATAGTTTTATTGTGGAATTTAACCCCATCCTTCTATTGATTCCAACATTCAGACCGGCTTGCAACAACAAAAATGACAACTGTAAAACAGAACAAAATCACCACCACCAGCAGTAGTTAAATGCAAAATCAAGCTTTATAATAATTGACAAATGAAAGCCTGCTGAAATAGCAGGAGAGCAAGAGCAAAGCCACATTTCATTACACAGAAATCATGCAGGAGAAAGCCTTTGCTGCTTATCTAATAGTTGCCCTTCTGGCAGCAGGAATATGTTGAGAAGGATTGCTCATGCTGATCTAGGTAATCTAGGTAATCAAGCACGATTAGAGCAGCAGGAAAGGAAGGGAGTTCTGCATTTAACCAGTCACTAAGTCATTTACGATTGCAACTTTAGGTGAGATAAAACATGTAGAAGGGTAATGAAAAAACAAACAAATATTTTAAAAGTTAATAGCTGGTTAGTAGATAGTGCAGGTCTTTCAGATCAGGCATCATAGGTGTTGTTGCTTTGCTGCTTTGATCAGCAGTTTGGCTGCAACATTTTCGTACCCATTGCAATTTCTTGGACACTTTTCAAAGATTGTCCCACAAAAAGCACATCTTGGTGGTCAAGATACAGAGATACCCTCCAATGAGGAACATGACCCCCTGTGCGATCGGCTCTATCTCTCCCAATCTTTTAGTTTTAGTTATAATCTGCATTTTAATTGCCATTGTATTGATTACACACAGAGACACACATATACATATACATATATTCATACACATACATGCATACATACATACATCAAAATAAAACTACATCTATCTATATAGTTTTATTTTGATGTTGCAAGCCACACAAAGTCGCCTTGAGATGAGATGGGCAGCAAACATATTTAATAAATAAAGAAATAAATAAAAATTATAACCAAAGCATGGATAATTTTCATTGACCAACTCGGGAAAGGCTGCAGCTGCCACACTAAAGAATAAGAATACAGGCAGTTCTTAGATTACGATGGCAACCTAGATCAAAATTGCTTTTGTTATGTAACAATCATAAAGTGTGATGTCATATCACTATGTGTCTTATGGATAGAAATGCTGGCCCAGTTGCCATGTTTGTCACCTAACACGACCTCAGCTTTCAACTTCTTGCTGGCTTCTCCTTTAACTTTGCTTGTAAGAAACTAGTAGGGAAATTCAGAAATTGTGAGCTCATGACTGTGGCTCACTGAGCGATTATAATTTATTTATTTATTTATTTATTTATTTGCCACCCATCTCACCTAGAGGCAACTCTCTAGACAGAGAGGGAGTCAAATGCCTGGATTTCAATCACATGATTGTAAAGATGCCATGATAGCCATATCTCCAAGGTCCTGTCATAAATCTCCCATGTTCTGTGCAAAATTAAATGGTTGTTGAATGTCCGCTCATAATCCAAAGGCCACCTACACATATATGCTCCTCACCACTTGCAAATCTAGGGACAGTTGGAACTCAAAAGGCTACCATGCTCAACCGTATCAAAAATCACCAAGAAGTCCAATAACAACAACAACAAACACAATTAGGGTCAGCCATGACACATCTAATATATGGCATAATTCAAAATGAGACCAAGCAGATTCAAGACCATATCCTGGATGAAATTCTGACTAGAAAGGTAGAAATAATCAGTTGCATTTAAAGCTGCAATATGCAAATGTTCTTAGTCACTTTACCCAAAAATGATATATGCAAAAATATTCTAGGACAAAGATATTAAAGATATTCTAGGACAAAGGACTTATAATAGGAGTGTCAAACTGATGCCTTTGGGCCAGATGCATCACACACAGGCCACACCCACCCAGCTCCGCAAAGGCAAAAAAGTTATGCTATGTCATGATACGTTATGTGACATGATCAAGTTTGACACCCATGACTTATACAGTAACATTCATTCTTAAAGCATTCTTAAAACACTTTCCACATTCATGGCTGTATTAATCACCTTCTGTAAATGGAGCTAATCCCAATTTTGTTGACCTAATCAGTTATGAAGGACACAGGGGGTCAACAAAGTTGTGGTCCTCATCTTTCTACATAGCCACCCTACATCATCGATACTTACAAGCTGGAAAACATCCTCAAGGAATCTAACAAGTCCCTAGGTTATGTCACAGCAGTGCAGTTAAACTCAAGATAAATTCAATGAACTTTCTCTGCTAAAAATGAAAATTATTCACAGAAACCTTCTGACCCATCTTGCTTCATTCTTCCATCATGATGGAGGTAATGCAACATAATTGTAATGTTCTCATGTTCTTATTTTGTATTGGGTAAGTTTGTGAGCCACCAAGAGCTATTTTGATTGTGCTAGTATCTTTAAATAAATATGCCTCACTAGCCTTTTCAGTGTACAAGCAATGGAGGCTGCTATCCCCAGTGGAATGAGAAGTGCAATTTCACCAATTAATTTTTTTGTTGTTGAAAAAAATGTTAGTATTTGAAAATGAAACCATATGCATTTATTTGTCTTTATTTTGAAACATATAAGCTGACTTTTCTCTAAAAGACTGAAGCAGCATACGTGGAAAATTTTTTCAACAATATCCCCGTAAAGTATTTTGGACTAGAGATTTATATACATATATATATATATATATCCCCCTCCCTCCCTCTGTCTCTCCCCCCCCCAAACTGACATCTGTGGTCTGCAATGACTATTATGGCAGCAATGGAGTAGTTGAGGTGAAATTTAATACTTCTAGTCTTTGGGAAACTTAAAGCGTTCAATTTGCTTCTTAACCCTTCTTCCTATCAAACCAAGGTTGGAGTGTAATTCATCTTAATTTCTTAATGGTTAAGCATATTTTTTTTTTATTGCAAAAGTTTTACAGTTACATTTTCACCCCTTTTTTTTTCCCCTCCACCCCCCCAAACTTCCCCATCTCCCCAACCCTCCCTAACCCTCCCCTCCCCCCAGACTTCCCTTTAATATACTCATAACTCGTAAAAAAAACACACAAAAAAAACCCTTAATATGACACTTAAGTATAAACTTGAACCCCTCCCTCCCCTATATAATTTTTCTTTTTACCTCATTACATTAAAATATTTCTAAAACATTATTTTTAAATAAAAGCTATTTGATACTTTCTAGTTTGATATTTGTTCTGAACATATTCTATCCATCTTTTCCATTCCCATTCATAAGTCTCTTGTGAGCAATCTTTTAAGTATGCTGAAATCTTCGCCATCTCTGCAAAACTGGCCATCTTCAAAGTCCATTCCTCAATAGTGGGCAAAGCTTCATTTTTCCAATATTTACCTATCAACAATCTTGCTGCTGTTATCATATACAATATCAGTTTTGTTTCACCCGATGTAAAACCCTTAACTATACCCAATAAAAACAATTGTGGAGAGAATTGAATTTTTTTCTTCAAAACATTCTGCATGACCCACCAAATTTTTATCCAAAAAGCCTTAACTTTCCTACAGGTCCACCAAACATGATAATACGATAATGGTTAAGCATATTTTGAACTCCCCCCCCCAAAAAAACCACATGTCAGCTTGAAAAGTTGGTGTATGTGTGTGTGTGTGTGTGTGTGTGTGTGTGTGTGTGTGTGTGTATACACCAGTAGAAAATGGAACAGGAGAAATTTTCTCCTGCTCTACCTCAATTGTAGATGATTAGCAAAAATATTTCCCAGTGCCTCAGCAATTTGTTGGAAGTGTGGAAAGGAGGTCGGCACCTTCTTTCATATGTGGTGGTCCTGCACGGAGACAAAAAAGTTTTGGACAAAAATACGAATTTGGCTACGAGAAATAGTGGAAGAAAATATAAAACTATCCCCCGAAATCTTTCTATTAGGAATGATGGGAGATGGATTCTCTAAGGACAAGATACAATTAATTATACATGTTATAACAGCGGCCAGATTAACCTTTGCAAAATACTGGAAAGATAAACAAACCCCTCCAGAGATGACAAGAATAAATAAAATTCTAGAATGCGCAGAAATGGCAAAATTAACTAGTGTTCTTAAAGACGATGAGAATTTAAAATTTAAGGCAGTATGGGAAAGGTGGTACAAATGGTGGAATAACAGAACAAGACTATAAGGATATGTCTATTTCCAATAATGATAGATTTGAAGATACTTGATGTGTACATAATGTATATATGTAATCGCACGATACCTCAGATGTTACCTGAGATTTGATGTTTTCTTTTTTAAATTTTTTTTAAAAAAATCAATAAAGTATTGTAGATGATTACAATGACCTCTTTATGGGCCAATTTGTATGTTGCACTAGAGCAAAATCTGGCAACCAGCTTGCTCAATTTGACCCTTAGTCTTTTAGCTTACATGTTGGTAGAAGCAACTCACTGGCTCTCATTTAGCTACCAATTGTATAAGACCTTATGCAATTGAGGATCAGGCTACCTGCCATTGTTGCCATTATAGATCTGGTTGACATTAAGATCATCAGAGGTATATGCCATGACTGAAAAAAATATCATTTTGCAATTACTCACAGTTAGGAATGGACTTGTGAATTTTCGTCCCAGAAATTCATGGCTGAGCTATGATTATATCCTTCAGGCAACTCTGCAGACCTTCCTCTCCACTTAGGTCATGCCTGTGTGAAGATTATAGATGAGTTTGCTTTGACAGTTTTTCTTCTTTTCCTTCCCAGCCATCTTTAGTTTCTTTTAAATGTCTTTATTGTGTTTTATTATATTAGTTAACGTCAGTTTATATTGCAAATATTTTTAGCAAGAAAGCTACGCTAGATGCTGCCATGTAGCATCCGTGACCAAATATGTTCCTACTAAATGCCTCAACCTGATATTTATTTGTTTATTGGATTTGTTGGAGGCTAGGATATGAGCTGACACTGACACATAGCCAGCCAACCAAATGAGAGATTTTATTCTGGACACTAAGTTACTTATCCTAATAAAATAGTCTGAGATAATATTATATGCAAGTGAAAATATTGACAAAATCAAGTATGTATAGAATAGTGCGTACAGATAGATAATGTAAGAAATAATCTACGTAATTTTCTCCTCCTCAACTCAATTTCCCTCACTTTCTACTTATACTTTATTATAACTTCTTCTCCCTCTCCTTATCAAAATTATGGCACTGGAATGTCTGTATTTATCTGGTTGCCTTGCTGCTAAAAAATAAATATTAAATTCGTATGTCACCGATCTTATTGTGAAAGTGACTTATCTCACAAGCAAATTTCAATAGAACTTATTTGTACCCATGGTGGAATTCAAATTTTTTTTACTACCAGTTCTGTGGGCATGGCTTGGTGGGCATGGTATGGCTTGGTGAGTGTGGCTTGGGTGTGGCAGGAAAAGGATACTGCAAAATCTCCATTCCCATCTCACTCCTAGGACCAGAGATGGTATTTGCTGGTTCTCCAAACTACTCAAAATTTCCGCTACCGGTTCTCTAGAAACTGTCAGAACCTGCTGAATAGCACCCCTGATTTGTACCACTCTACAGATGCCTTCTAGCATTTCCCCTCTTCAGCTTACTTGTTCAAAGTCTTATGTCTAGTCATCTGCTTTCTGCCCCCCTCCGACTGCCAAAAAATTAATAATCTATAACCTTGGCACAGAACCAGCCACTTTCCTTCAGCATGACATTTCAAGAGGCCACAGAATTCATTTTTATCTCACTGCAATCATGTAACTTTTGCTGGTGTGCAAGCATAAAACATCCATGGGGCAGGTAATAGTGTGTATATCATAAGACATGAAGAATGTAGGTTTAAAAAGCTGACTTAAAATAAACAATTCTTATGGCCCTCTGGAAGAGCTCCATCTTAACACTCATTGGGAAAGCTATCAGTACCACATCTGATCTAATTTATAGAGAAGGTTGTTTCACCTCATAGGGGCCACGATGAACAATTGCCTCCTTATAGCTTCAGCCTCACCTAATTTCACAGTAGTGGGGAGTTGCAAGCAATTTTTCCTCAGTTGTTGAGAGTTGTGAGGTTTTGCAGCAGCAGCATGATATTTAAGAAGATCAGTGTGAGAGCTTGTTCTAGGCTCCCTTAACATGTAAGGTGTCCTTTGGACAGGTAGGCAGAGTGTATGTATATGGGTGCAGGTTGATGAATATGTTTATGGGTGTATGGATAGGACATGGGAAGGCTGCCTATATATGGAATCAAAACATTCATACATGTCCATGTGTTTACTGGAAGGTAATTTCCAGAGGTGGGATTCACTTACCTTCACTACTAGTTCGCAAATATCACCTTCCATGCATGCTTGGCCTCACATACATTCTTTTCTCTTGCACCCGCCTCCTGTGCATGGCCTCCAAAATATAGCTAAATAGGACATCATTACGTTCGGGTGGGTGGGCGGGGCCTACTGCAGTCGGCGCTACCAGTTCGCCCAAACCGAACAGAACTGGATGAATCCCACCACTGGTATTTTCCCAAAGATCTGACTTCTTGACTAATTCTTGAGGAATACTTTCTATTACAGCAGCTTTTCCATTTTGAATTGCGATGTCTTTTCTGCTAACATAATGCTCAACATCTTTCCCCCAACCTAGGACATCAAGATTCAGAGCCATTCTGAATGATTGAACTAATCAGACAGGACAGGCAGGCTAATTATAAATGAGAGCCCTTCTATTTATTCCCAAGTATCTTGCTAATCAAGAATAATGGCAAGGAAAAATATCTAGCAAAATGCTTGAGGCATGACCTTTGGAGAATACACTGGAAGAAAGGTATTCCTCAAAATTATAATAGATTGGTTTTAATAATAATATAATTGTGGAAATCATGATATTTTACTAGGATGGGAAACATTGCAAATTGTTTTCATCATAAAATTAGTAGTATCAATGTGGAATCCAAATGTTTTATATTGTTTATTTGTGGACTCCAACTGGCATATTTGAAGGGAAAAATTTAAAAAAAAAAACCAATTGCTTAAAAAAAGATGAAAACTCTTGTTGTGGGTGTGATGTAACAAGTCAAAATGCAGCCCATGTGAGAGGACATAATGCAATTTTGTTTCCTTTAAAGACAGGAGGTTGCAAACCCTGGGGCATATATTCAATAATTTGCATTAACAGATTTGATATTTAAAAAGTGAAAACTAAGCAAGGCACAGGAAGTAAGGTTAAATAAATGTGTCATTTTTTGTCATTTTCTCAATTTCACTCGCTCTTAGCTTGTTCCAGGTAATGCAGAACATTTGTTATTAATTGCTGAACACTGCCCAGGGTCACTTTGGGAGAGATGGGAAGCCATATAAATTAGAGACAGATAGATAGATAGAGTTATTTATCATCCCATTCCACCTTTTTAATCAATGATGGTTCAACATTAAGTTAAGGAATTTCATCTTCTTAACTTACAATGTCAGAGAAGAAAGAGTCCAGGTTATTCATTCCAGACCTATGTTGCAACATTCCCAAAACTTGTCCATTGCTCTTTTCTATTGAATCATTTCCAGTTCACTTGATCCTCTCCTTCTTCCAGGTACTTGACAATAATAACGCTATTGTTTTTTCCTACCCGGAAATAAGATAACTTTATGCAGTGTTATCTAGATGTTGCAAGAGCCAATTGGTAGTAGTTAAATTTTGAAACTTGGGACTGGGAGTTCTAGTCGTGCTTTAGGCCTGAAGGCCAGCAGTGTGATCTTGAGCTAGTCACTCTCTCTCGGCCCTAGGAAGAAGGCAAGGACAAATCTCTTCTGAAAAACCTTGCCAAGAAGTCTTCAGGGACTCTCCAGATAGCTTGAAAAGTCAATACTGACATGACTTCCAGCTGACGACATGGTGCTATCAGATGTGAAAAGCGGGGTTCCACAAACTCTCACTGGATCTCTTCGTTGGAGGGACTAAGGGGCTAAAGTCATCCTGTAGGGGTGACGAAGAGTGGAGGAGTACCCTGCAGATCACGGAGAGTGGCGGCTGTCCTCCTTGATCCAGGGTTAATTCCCTCTCATCTGATGACAAATAGTAGAGGCAGCCATTATGGCTGTCGTGAAGCTGGAGCAGCCAAAGAAACTGAAGAAACACTTGCTGAGCTGGAGCAGTGTGGATGAACAGTGACTGGAATTGGGTGAGGTGACTTTTTTTTTTTACTTGAAACCTACCCTAAAAAAAATAAACTCTGGAAAAGGGACTTTTTGAAGAGTTTGTTTAAGCGTTGAACAATTATAGAGAGAAAAATCTTAGACCTGAAAGAAAAGGATATTAAGAAGAGAGCACAAAACGTTTAAAAACACAGAAAGACTGGATCTCTAATTTTTATTGGCAATAAGACATTTTAAAATACTGGAATTACTTGTCAGAATACAAACAGAACTTGCTAGAATCTATGCAATGTTGAAGTTAAATGGAAGGCACCATCTACTGGTGTATGGAATACATTATATTCCTACAACCCTGAGAAAAATACTGATAAAACAGAGGAGACAGTGGAAATAACACCTGGAGGACTGCTGTGCTATCTTTATACTTATCTATTCCATGACTACTGGAGCTCTTACATTGAAAATGTGAAAGACATATAAGTAAAGTGACTTTTAAATAAAACCATATTTCTGGAGGAGCAATATCAGGACTGAGTAAATGGTTTCCAGATCGACTTTCTGAGAGCAAAAATAATTGAGACTCTGGGGCAGTGATAGAACATTGACAGACTACTGAGTGATATTTGGACTTATTGAAAAAGAAGGCAAGATGTTTCAGCAGGGGGAAATAAGTGGGTTGCAAAAAGAATTGGTGGTGATGTTTAAAAGCATTCATGATACTATGACAAGGAATCACTGGAAGATAATGGACTTAATGAATAACATAAACGGGAAGTTAGAAAGTGCTCCACAAGGGATAATGAATAATGATAAAAAAGCCCAGGAAATAGAGGAGAGAGTGGAGAGACCAAGGGAAAAGACAGAACTAAATAAACAAACAAGAAGATAAGAAGGAGAAGGTAATAAAAAAATATGAAGCAATTCAGAGAAAATACATGCTAAAAGACCAAAAAATGATACTAGATAAACAGAAAGATATATTTGAAAAGAAAATGGAGAGTTGGACAGATACTCTGGAGGTTTGGCAACAAAAGATGATAGAGATGAAAGAAATACTTAAATTAAACAGGAAAGGTGTAGATAGAGAAGAAGACCCAAGGTAGGAATTTGGGAGGCAAGTCAAAAAACGAATAAGAATTGAAATATTAAAATGGGCAGAGATGATGGATAGAAGAAATGTTTTGTAACACAAGAGTGGCTTTATTAGGAGCTAGAACAGAACAGAAATAGGGGGAATATTATTATGCATACTTTTATATAATATATTAAAAGTAATAGCTAGATATATCCAGCTGATTTTCAGGCCTTCCGAGCCCACCGGAAGTCAGAAAATGGGCCATTTCTGGCCTTTGGAGGGCCTCTGGGCTCCACGAAAGGCTCCAAGAAAGCCTCTGGGGTCTGGGGAGGGCGAAAAACGCCCACCGGTAACCTTCTTGCCATTGCGTGCCAAAAGCGGCGGTAGTGGGGGGGAGACATGCACATGTGCTGGGGGCGGGTGCAGGGGGGAATTGAATTATAAGTGTGGGCACATGCCTGCACAACACCCCCACCCGCGTTCCCCTGCTTTTGGCACGCGACGGCAAAAAGGTTAGCCATTACTGATCTAGACAGTGTCTTCTAAGTGACTGCACTTGTACACCAGGATATTATCAGGAAAGGAAAGGTAGAACCTATAAACATCACTAGGAACAGCAGGGAAGACTAGACACAAAGGTAAATGCTACTCCTCTGCAAGTGTAAATATGTTTTCAGGAGGATCATCTCATCTTAAAACAGAGCTGAGCCCAAATGATCATTTGAAATTCTTCAACAAACTCAAGGGCAGAGAAATTGGCTAGATGATTCAATTATATTTCTCCAGAAGAAATTGCCCCATAGCTTCTGAATGGCTAGAATCCCCTTAGGAGTGACAGCAGAAGAGAAAATCTTTGCTGGGGAAAGTATCCTCTAGATGTCTCCCCTAGCAATGCAACAGATGGCCTTGGAAAGGTGAAGTCCCCTGGAGGAGGGATGTCAAAGGAAAAAAAAAATAGACATTCCCAAAATGCAGTCCTTTTGTCTATCTCACAGCTCAGTGAGTGCACTCCCAACCAATGGGAATTTCTCCTTTAGAAGAAAAAAAAACTCAATTAGCCTTGATTAAAATGAATGAAACCTGACATGGAGAAAAAAAATGCCTCCCCACCCACCCCCACTTTCAAGTAACCAATGAAAGAATTTATGAAATCAAGTAGGAAAAATGATATTTGAGGGAAGGGGCAAACAAATCCCCCCAGGATAGGAGCATGGTGGCTGACATGGTTAAAACATTGGGTTGGAGGTTAGCAAACCACGTTCGAGACCCTGCCATGGGGTGGGGTGAGCTCCTGTCCTTCACTACAGGGGACATGAAACAACTCAGTATCCCCCAGGCAATGCTGTTGTAACTGGCTAATCTTTTCAACCCAGAAGGACTTCAATGCTTCTGACACAAGTTTTATTTTTTTTTTATTTTTATTTTGATTTATATGCCGCCCTTCTCCAAAGACTCAGAGCGGCTTACAATGCATTAAACAATAGCCTTCATACTATTGTATATTTTATACAAAGTCAGCTTATTGCCCCCAGAAACCGAGTCCTCATTTTACCTACCTTAGAAAGGAAGGAAGGCTGAGTCAACCTTGAGCCTGGTGAGAATTGAACTCGCAGTAATTGCAGGCAGCTGGAAGCTAAATACTACCTTTAACAGTAGCATTAGTCTGCTGCGCCACTCAGGCTCCTCATGTCATGCAGTGTCATGCAATCTTCCAGGATTCCATTTCCATCAGGGCTTTTAGCAAGCCAGTAGAATAAAACTGAAGGAATTTCTTTCCTCAAAAACAAGGAGGAAGGGAGAGAAGTTTTAATCTGGCAACAAATCCATATCTTGCTTCCAGCTCTGTAGCTTTTCTTTTTCTTATTCTCTTCCTGAGTTTGGCTTTATTTTGTTTGAAAAAAACAACAACCCAACAACCCTCATCTTCCTTTATTTCTCTGCAGTAGGAAATCTGAAATGCAGAAAGAGAAAAATCAATTTAAGGCTAATTTCCTTTCTTGGTTGTTTTTTCCAAAGCCTCCTTTCTATGCAGAGAAAATACGGAATTAACAATGGAGTTCTATGTGCATCAAATCAGAAGTAAGCCCCAATTAATTCAATGGGATTTATTCCCAAGTGATGTAGTGCTAGAAGATTACCTTGCATGCTAGCTTTTGGGGATTAAGAGCACGGGGTAATTAATTATTCCTTTATTCTTTGGATATTTTTTAAAAGGAATAATTATTATCCTCATATAGCATTCCGGTATGTCTGAAGTCTAAGCTTGGTATGCCATGCAACAACCTTGCAGGGAAGGTCAGTATTCTCATTAACCTCATACCACAGAAGGGGATCCAATCTAGATTTGCCCAAACTAAAATGAAAACTAAACTAAGTGCACATTACTTAAAAACATACCAAGTTAGTTCCTGATGATTCATGCAACTTGTGCTGTTTGGAACAGGGGAAGTTCCAATTTAATTTGTAAATTTAAAATACAGAGCATTAATGCAAGCTACTGTTTTTGTCTGTCTGTCTGTCTGTTTGTTTGTTTGTTTGTTTGTTTGTTTGTTTGTTTGTTTGTTTGTCTGTTTGCTTGCTTGTTTGGCCAGGCCTACTGCTACAAATCCAAGGGTTGTAATTAGTATTGTGGTTGAGCTATTCTGTGAATTTTGCAGTGTGCATTTCTTTTTTCATTTGACTTTGATGGGACTGGTTTTAGTAAAGCATCCAAGAACTAAAGTAGGTATAGTGAGTCCTTGATTTACAACAGTTCATTTAGTGACCATTTGAAGTTACGGCACTAAAAAGACTGACTTATGACCATTTTCCACACTCACGACCACTGCAGCATCCCCAGAGGCACTCGATCAAAATTCAAATGCTTGGTAACTGGCTCATATTTATGATGGTTACAGTGTCTCAGGATCATGGGATCATCTTTTGTGACTTTCTGACAAGCTAAGTCAATGGGGAAGCCAGATTCACTTAACAACCTGTTACTAAGTTAATAACTTGCAGTGATTCACTTCACCCATGTGGCAAGAAAGGTCATAAAATGGGGCAAAATTCACTTAATAACTGTCTTGTTTAACAACAGAAATTTTGGGCTCAATTGTGGCTGTAAGTCAAGGACTACCTATATAGTTCTTCCCACATCAGGCGACTAGGTTTTAATTGACCAGACCTATATCTGGATTTTCATCTCATCAGCCACATTTATGTTTAAATTGCTGCCCTTAAAACTCATTTTACAAAGAATGACTCACAGTTTAGTTAAACAAATGTAGGCATCAAATGCATTTTTGTGACCAGATGGAGCCAGAACAGCGTGTGAAAATAAACTAAACAGGCATGTTTTATGCTCTCAGTATAGATTTCACTCATACGTAAGCCATTCAGAATACTATTCTTAATTCATTTTAGCTATCACCTAACATGTAGGAGCCGAAATAAAATATGGAAATGGCCTCTAAGAAATTCCATAGGCACCAGAGTTATTTATGTTTGTGCTTCAGACCTCTTATAAGCAGAACCTCTTGTTACTAATTAAAGCACCCATGTTTCTTTTAGACTGAGTTCTTTTTTCTTTTTCTTTTAAATGTGGCTACTAAATGCGTCAGATTATAAAACTGATTCTTAAAGTGTAACACCATTTTTTTCAGCTTCATGCAGAATCTGATTCTTAATCTGATTTTTCAGATTCATGCAGAATATGCAGCTCTTTTAATGAATTGTAGGAAGGTTCTATGCTTATGCGAGGTATAAAGCATTTTTTTCCAATCATAAAAATTCAGGATTCTCGAACGAATCTTTGGTATGTTAGTACTGTACTAACATACATGCATTTGACAGGAAAATTGAGCAAATCAGCTATGTCTCCCTTACCGTATAGAGTTTATCACTTTAGGGGGCAAGTTTCTGGTCTGGCTCTTTTCTCTCCATATGGATTTCCTATTTAACATTTTTTGAATAATGTGCTAGAGTGAATCATCTCGGGCATTTATATTATTTCAGTTTTAAAAGACTGATGGTCTTACAACAGGGGGTCAAACTGGAGGCCCACGGGCTGCATCCGGCCTGCAGGGTGCTTAAATCTGGCCTGGAAATAGCAAAGGACTGGCCCATGATGCCTCTGGCAGCCAAAAATGGGGCATGGGGGGTTGTGCACAGCCCCCTGCACCCCATTTTGGGCCTGGACAGCCTCCTGCAGCACTCTGCCAGCCAAAATGGGGTGCAAGGGAGCTCCGTGTGGCCCCCAATGCCCGATTTTTGGCCTGGATGGCCTCCTGAAGCACTCTGCTGGCCAAAACAGGGTGCGGGGACCTTTGTGTGGGGTCCCCGTGCCCCATTTTGACCAAAGGGTGTTGCAGGATGCATCTGTCCCATTCCACCCCCACCCCCCTTGCCCATGGAGGAGAACTACAATGCTGATCTGGCCCTCAAAGAAATCCAGTTTGATACCCCTGGCTTACAATAAAGTCAATCTCTTCAGAGAGTAGAGATTTCTTTTCCAGCCTTTCATGTTAAGTTTCCCTTTTGCAGAAATTTAAAGGCAGACAAGTCCTCTTACATGTTCAGGATGTCTAGAAACAAGCTCTGAGTCCTCACGTTATTTCAGCCTTTTATGAAATAAATGCAGTCCAATTGCTGATTACTTTTTCCCCTTGGAAAGGATGAACATGAAACAGACCTCATTTGGATCTGGCTATGTGCCACTGTGGATCACCAGGGAGGTGAACTAAGGTAGATCACAGGGTTGCAAGTAGACTTTCCAAGCAAAAAAAGTAAGTTGGGAAAACTGCTTTTCTGGTAAGTATCTTTTGTTGGGTTTGAATGTCCTATTGAGACATGGCTTGGCTTTCTTCTGAGCATTATCTGTCAAAATACTTTTCTATTTTCAAATTATGATGGGGAACTCAGCTGTTATTAGCCAGTACATTATTGCAATGCACTGAAAGGTATACGTATAGCTAGATGGGGTTTTTGGTTACTGTCGACCTTGTAAATTTTGGAGATCCCAAGGTACTATATTCTGTTCTGGAACAAAATAGACTTCTAGCCTTTAGATTCTATGGTCTGAAAGAATCTGTTCTTTCAGCACTTCTTGTTAATAGTTATTATTGTTATAATTTTAAATCTGTAGGGTTCTATTAGAACAAAGCTAACTTCCCCTCAGAAAAATGCAACATGCTTTGTGTCAAAAGTTGGACTATGCCAAAAGGACTAAGATAATATAATTCTAGAAAACTATTACATTGGGAAAAGTGGGAAAAAATAAATATTTGGATTCTACTGTTAAAAAATTATACATTTCAGTTCAAGAGTGCTATTTCATTTTATATTTTATGCTTGCAATTTGCTTTGCACTCAAATTGCCTTGGAAGCAATTTTTATCTGACATTTTATTTGGAAGTATATTAAAACTGTATTTATCTAAACTTGAAAAGTAATGATAAATGGAGGACTCAGACAAGTATAAAAGAACCTCAACTTTAGTTCAGTCATCTCTCTTCCCAGAGAATTTAATTTTTTTGTTAAAAAAAAAAAAAATAGCACGGGAGAAAGCATTATGAAGTTCCTAAATCAGTCTTTTTAATGTTGAGGAAATATATAAAGTCAACCTTTCCTTCTTATTTATTGAAAATATTAGACTGTGGTGCACTGTGGCAAAGCTTTTCCATCAGTGAAAAAGCCTCCTGCAGAAGCCAAAATGCAGAAGGAAAATTGTAGTATTTATTAAATAAATTTATATTAATGAGTGTTACCAATAGTAGGCACCCTTTATGTACTTCTTTCCTTTTAAATTGCAGCAGGGCCCAGGTGCTAAACTATTTTTTTAAAAACATATACCTAGAAAAATAAGCTATGGTCACATGACACTGTTGCCAAGGAAACTGTACAGAAACTCTTATTACTGGTTGTGGTCCTTTACCACCAAATAGCATCTTCTGGGAACAACAGCAGCCCAAACCTAGAGTCACATGTTGTGCCACCCAAAGAAAATGAAGTATTATATAAATAAATTGGCAACTAGAGTAATTCATAAACCAATTAAATTGTACAATCATCAAAAAGTCCAAGTAGTATTACCTGGAGTGCTCCTGTGCTTTCCATTTACTTCTGGGCCTGAACGAACATGTGGAGAACATAAAGGGGAGATAATATTGCTGTGGTCTATAAAATGCAGTTTTATTCCTTATTAAATCACTGATATTTTCTCAGCAAATGACATAACAGATATAGCTGATATTTTCATTGCCATGCTGCCTATAATTGGTAGTTTTATACTGAAAACACTGAGGGAGAGCACTGGGTGGGGGTGGGGGGAAGGAGAATTAAGATGTTTGAGATGTGAAAATACATTATCTTTTCCAGAAATGTTCTAAGCATCAGAAAATCTAAGTATGGTCATATTCCAAATTATCAACAGAAACCAGCGGAATACAAAGCAATTTTTAGCTTCCAGTGAAGCTGAGGAATTGAAATTTTGATCAGATGACAAACAAGTGCAGGTGTAGAGGATTCAATGGGAATTTTATCTGCAATCTCTGTGTCAACAAATTAGATAATTATGTTGGCAGCCTATTCTGTTTGAATTTGAAAATTGCATTTTTGAATGCTTGCATTCAGACTTCTTAAAAAAAAAAAAAACAAGCAAAGCCAAACCTTTATTTTCCAGTTTTCAAAATCATGGTTAGAGAGCAGTTAGTCTGAAAGAGAAGATTCCTGGGTCACAGCGGATTCTGGGATGCAGTGAAGGCTGGATTTTTCTTTATGAAGAAAATATGCATTCAATGTCTGTGCAATATGTAAGAGGCCCTGAGACTACAAGATGAAATGTTTTTATCAGGAAAAACAGGACTAGAATGCTGGTATTTCCCACTGGCTCAGCTGCCCCACGTTCCTCAATTATACAGAGTATAATTGATTGCCATATTATGGATTTAAAAGGAATTTCCACCCAAGAGAGGCTGGCTGGTAATTAGGTTCTTTGGTTATTAATAATAATCACCTCAGATTGTCAGGCTCAGCTAGGTTTATTATCAGCTGTGAAACACTATTATAGTCTAATCAGCAGAAAGATACAAGAAGCAATATCTCATCAAATCCCTTGTAGCTTTTGGGGCAGAATCATTTGAGCACAATCTTCCCTGTAGCTTGAGAATTCAAAACACTATTATTGATAATACTAAAGGTAAGATTTGTATCCTGCCTTTTGTTATATTTAGCCAGGTTTAGGATAGGAGGACTTCCAACAAATAGAATATATAGTATCTTCTCACCTGATGAGATCCTTAAAAAAGTTTTTCTTCATTTTCTTTTAATCTGAGTAAATGAATAGTTTTCCATCTTTGCCCATGTTACTTATTTGTAAGTTTGAAACAACAACTTACTTACAGTACTTTGATCTATGCAGAGTGTTTTTATAAGTCTATTATAAATAACACATGTGGGGACTGTAGGGAAAAGCTGGAGTTTGCTGGGGTCTCCATGGCTGCCTAGCAAGCTACTTTCTCAAATTCCTGAACATCAGCACCAGGCTAGTGAGGGAGTCAGGCAGGCTTTACATTCTCCATGCCCTGACAGGTCAGTCCATTGTCCTGGTCAAGTTATTATCTCTTCTCCCTAAGGCTTGCAGCCATGGCCCATTTCTCTGGTGGAGATGGACTAATTAAGCTTGTCTGTCTAGATTCCTATAGATCTAGTAAGTTTCCAATGAGTGCTGAGAGGGAGCATTTTAGTGAGGGGTCTCTAGTTGACATCTGGAATATGGAGACAGTTGCATAATAGTGTTGGTCCTGAATGGTCTCTTATCATGAGCAAATCAGGAATTCTCTTTCATTTCTTGAAGTCTTCAAAAAAATAAAGTTATAAGAGAGAGGGAATGCAAGGGCAGGGCAAGATTCTATTGCTATAATCTATACATATCCAATTATACTGTGAACTCTCATCTACTCTACAGGGTTCTCCCATTGTTTACTAACATCTATAAGAAGCTTCTAGTAGAGATCCTTCATCAGTTTGTGTTTAATTATAATCAATATGCTGATGATAACCAGTTTTACATCTCTATCCTAGGCTGAACAGGAGATGTGGTAGAAGTCTTGACCCAAGGTCTAGAGACTATAATGAGGCAGAACAGATTCCAACTGAATCCTAGAAAAATGGAGTTGCTTTTAGTAGATGGGCCTATGTCATCAATTGCTCTTGCTAGAATGACTTTGATCTGGGATCAGTGATCCTGGAATTACAGTTCCTCTACAATATTAAATGGAGGCCATGGCCAGGACAACCTTTGGCCAGCTTTGCCTGATCTATCAATTGCAATCTTTGTAAATCAGAAGATGCTTAGAACAGTGACTCGTGTGTTCATCAACTTACAATTAAAGTATTGCATTTTTGTCTACAAGAAATTGCCTTTGAAGTTAACCTCAGTACTGCAACTGCTGCAGTATGTGGCTGCCCACTTCCTGTATGTTACTAACCAGTTAATTAGAAGAGCACCTATATTATGGGAGCAGTTGTTGCCATTGCACTTCTAGGTCTAATTCTAGGTACTAGTGACTAACTCTAAAGCTTGTATTATCATTGGAACAATCTCTTACAGGTAATATCTGCCAGCCTAGTGTTGGCTGGTTTGGGTGGCTGGGTGAGATATTATGGGTATTCATCACCCAAGAGAAGAGACAGTTTCTCACTATGAAATATTCTGTCACCTACCCTGTTTCCCCCAAAATAAGACATCCCCTGATAATAAGCCCAATTGGGCTTTTGAGCGCATGGCAATAAGGCCAAGAGCTTATTTCAGGGTTCCAAAAAAATATAAGACAGGGTCTTATTTTTGGGAAAACATGGTAGGTTCAGAATGGTTTCCACCCTTTTGTCATTTTTCAGAGCCTTTAGAACAAGAGTTTTAATTAGTGGATAGAACTGAATATGGATACATTATTTTAGCAGGTGTATTTATGATATCTTTATTATTTTAAATTTATTATTATAAATTACCTAGAAACTAGTGAATAGGTGGCAATTTAATCCATTCCCTTCTCCTGACTCCCCCACATTGGTGGTGGACACTACTTTTTTTAGCAGGTTCTGTACATGATCTGAGTTTTGCTATTGTCTTTTCTTATTTTATTTTACCTTTTACTAATATTTTACTCTGCAACCAACAAGGCAGACACAGACTTCAGAGGATAATTAGAACTGCAGAAAAAACAATTGCTACCAACCTGCCTTCCATTGAGGACCTGTTTACTGCACGTGTCAAAAAGAGGGCTGTAAAAATATTTACAGATCTCTCGCATCCTGGACATAAACTATTTCAACTCCTACCCTCAAAATGACGTATAGAGCACTGCACACCAGAACAACTAGATACAAGAACAGGTTTTTCCCGAATGCCATCACTCTGGCTAAACAAATAATTCCCGCAACATTGTCAAACTATTTACTAAATCTGCACTACTATTAATCTTCTCATCATTCCCACCACCCATCTCCTTCCACTTATGACTGTATGACTGTAATTTTGTTGCTTGTTTCCTTACGATTTATATTGATATTGTTTCCTGATTGCTAATTTGTACCCTATGACTATCATTAAGTGTTGTACCTTATGATTCTTGATGAACATATCTTTTCTTTTATGTACACTGGGAGCATATGCACCAAGACAAATTCCTTGAGTGTCCAATCACACTTGGCCAATAAAAAATTATATTCTATAAAATTCTACTTATTTTATAAATTTAGACTTCTGAACTGTAATTTAATAGCAGCTGGTGCAATTAGTGTGAATAACACAGAGAACCATTTCTGGAAGTTTGAAAACCAGCAAAGACAGCAAAACAACTAAAGATTAATGAGATCCTCAACTCAAAGGCTTCTGCTAAGGTCTTACTAGCCCAGAATCCCATGAACAAATTTGAAAAGTTATCCCAGCAGTTAATGAAACATCAAACTCTTGTCTCCCTCATGAAAACAATGGATGTCTACAAAATGAGAACTCCCAGGAAAATATTGCCACTGGTGAGTGCGGAGTTCATTTTGAAGACAGCAGGCCTCTAATAATGTTTCAGCTGATGAGTTAAATAAATGTTCTAACCACAAAACTCTAATCAGATATTCTGGCTAAACATTATTGTCTAACTGCCCAGATTCGTTTGAACAAGTCCCAACTACTTTATTTCTGTAAAAATTGATAATTGAAGTAAGCTTTTGATATCCATATATAATCCTTCCAAGAAATTACTGAAAACAAATTATCCTTAGAGAGTGTTAGGATATGGTTTGAGCCTAACAGTTGTCCAGGCAATATATGTGTACTGTAACTTTAATCTGTAAATGTATTATGTTACTTTAAAGGTATTCATTATAATGCTGAGTCATGCTGTAATTAGGTAATGACTGGTTGTGAGAGTATTTAAGCAAGGTATTGTAACGTGTTCAGTTGCTGCTATGATATGCTGCCATTGATGATGAAGCTGCTATGATAAACTACCATTGAGAGGAGTTGTTATCTGCTAATCATTGTTTGATGGATCTGCTACTATTGTGGTTTGTGAACCAGAGTGAGTTTGTTATGCTAACCAACTAATGTTTGTTTGGTAGGAAGATATCTGTAACTAGTGGACTGATTTAACTGGCAAAGACTTGGAATTTGTTTAAAGACTATGAGACTATTTTTCTACTATAAAGTAAGCTTTTGATAAACCAGTTTGCATGACTCTTATTCATTGCTCTCAGCAACGTTTCCTTGTGCATACACTCTGCTGGTTGGTAACACAACACCAATATCCTTAACAGAGAGTTTCTATATTGGATAAGCAGTTTGAAAACAGCAAAACCCATGCTTCTTCAAACCTAGGACTCTGCTGTCATATATCAACATAAACTAGTTGGGCTTTACAAAGGCTCTGTTCATCTTCCCCTCAAGTCAACTGTTTCACTGCCCACCCCATTGTGTTTACCATGTTCATATTAATTTGTTTCCCACTACAAACTGCAGAAAATTCAATTGCTTTTCAGCTACTCGGCAGTACATGCAATTCTTTAAAAGTAAAGAGTTTTTTTGAACATTTTTTGGAATTACTCATATCCAGATGTTAATTAATCACAATGTAAAGTCTACCTTAAGTACTCTTACATCAGAGTAATAAATTAGGCACAAATTAATGTTGTGCCTAATTTAATCTCATATTCTCTCTCTCATTCCCATCTCTTAAACCACCTTCAGCAATCAAACTATAAACATTTCACTTGAGATTAGTATTTGTTCTTTCTATGTGATGCGTTCCTCTCAGCCATAAATCTCAACTTCAAAATACTGACACAGGTCATAGTTCTCAAGCTAACTTTGCTGATCTGAAAATAACCAGCTGACCTATTTTAGGAATTTAATCTTTACTGGACTGAATTTCCATTGTATATATTGTGATCTGGGGCCTCCCTCTCCTCCCTAAACAGCTGCTAATGGTATCCAATCTCATTCTATCATCATTCTGTTAACATCTGAGTAATCCTCATATTCTATCTATAGTGGACAATACGGTGCATTTGACAAATTCATCCTCCCCCGCCCCCAAAAAACCAGGCAGAATGTTCTTCAAGCAAAATTGCAGGACCAATTTTGCAACCAAAATTCAAAGATATTTTGTAATAAATCACTTGCAAGACCATAATCTGTGTAATTCTTAAGGGCAAGATT